TTGGAAATACAAATCCTTAGGAAATTAAGTCTAAAGTGGTGAGCAGGAGTCACAGGTTCCTTGAGTTTCCTCTTTTACCATTGTGCTGCTCACATTCGAAGATAAATACGTGGATACGCTTGAAATGCCCTGGACGTAGAGAATTTAAGCTTTCATGCCTATGTATCTGCAGTCATTCTTTCGTTGAGTGTTTATTGAGCACCTAATATGCACCAGGTATTGTTCTAGGGCTAGAGCAGTGGACAAGATCAAGTTCTGGTCTTCATGAAGCTGATATTCTAATGGGAGAGGAAGATGGCAAACAAATATATGTATAAAAGAAAAGTAAAGCATGGCAAAAGGTGATAAAGAGTGAAGAAAAACTCCATTTGTTGGACTGGCAAGGTTCTGTAGACGGTCATGTGCAAATGGCAACCTGAGGAAATGTGAAGAATGTTCCCTGAGCCCATGACAAGGACTTTTCTTTTGCCTTGAACATCTTTTCCTTTATCTGTAATTTTTGGGTGAAGTTGGAATTAATTTTAACTTTTCCATATGTTGGCAAGTTGTCACTCTATGCACTGATAATAGTTGTCTCTTCCCTATTCATTTGAAATGCTGTTTTATCTTACACTAATTTTATATGTGTTTATACATATATCATATGCATATATGTTTATCAGTGCTTTTCCATAGGTTTGTCTTCCTGAACATGTTACCCTACTGCTGTAATTGCTGTACTTTTAAAATCAGGGAGGTGAATAAAAGCAATCTGGAATGGCAAACTACAACCCATAAGTGATATGTGGCCCACTTGGTAGTTTTTTAATAAAGTTCTGTGGGAACACAGCCTCGCTCTCATGTTTAGTGCTGGTGATCTGCAAAGCCTAAAATATTTACGATGTTGCCTTCTACACAGTTCACCTGCTTTATACTGTGTATATTGTGTGCATCTGATAGGCAAGTTCTTCCTCATTCTTTTTCAACAATTTCTTGGCAAGTCTAGCATATTTTTTCTTCCAGATGAACTTTGGAATCAATTTGCCAAGCTTGCCTGACTCCCTCACTTTTCCCCACCCCTTCTTTGGGGTAAGGATCTGGGAGGCAAGGAGGAATAGATATTTGATTGCATTTAATTTGTAGTTTAGTAAAGGAAGAAGTAATTGCTCTACAATACTGGGTCTTTCTAGTCCAGAAATATTATAACTGCATTTATGCCTTTTAGTAAACTTTTATTGTGTCTTCATTAGTATGTTACCTATTTGCTTCTTTCTGTGTGTGTTATTCTTTTGGCTGTTATTACAATTGAAATCATCCCCTAACTATATTTTACAAAGGATTATTTATTATCTAAAGGGAAGATTCAGCTTTTATGCACTTAAATTATTTCTGATCCCTTATTAGAAATAGGCTCTTGTTAGGTCTGCTAAATTTTAATTTGATTCTTTTGGTGTTGGTCATTTTCTGAACTTATCTATAATTGTTTTTCATTCATAATGTTTATGTCTCTCTCTTGTGAGACTCATTGCCTAGGGTAGTTTGGAGGAATGGATTTTGATCCACCTTGGGGGCATTTATTTTATTTTTTTAATATTATGTAGGCCACAGCAAATGGTAATTACCAAAAAACCAGCAAACATTCCCAGAAACCTTCATGCCCAGGCAATTTTTGTTGATAGTTTTAAGACTACCCAGAAGATACTATAGACAAGATATTATAGACAAGCTATTTATTAAGCAGGCTCTACCCTTTTGCAGAGCGATTTGTTGCTTTTAATACAGAATACAGGATTTGTATGTCACACAGGAAACTCAAACCTTGCCACCACTTTACTGTGGAGAGCCATTTGATCATGAAATAAAGTTGAGTTAACCTCACGTTATCCTTTGGAATTGAATAGGAGCAGAAGGAGATTTTTATGAATCAGTTAGTGCTTTCCTAAATACATTCTCTGTAAAGTATTTGATCTTTACCCTTAGCATCTTTTCCTTAAGGATGTGAAATCTATTTTAGATTTCAAGGTCTATTACTTGCCCTGAACACTGAACAGTTGAACCATAAACTCAGTATGTGCTAACCTTTGTGGATTTATCTTTTAGTGCTATTTTGGTCTTTCCCCTGAATTTGTGTCTCTTCTTTGGCTTCTTGGTGAAACTAAAGAAAAGGTGGTGATGTATATGGATGTGGACACTGTGATTTGTGAAATGAATCTTATTTTTCTCATTGTCTGTAAAGAGAAGCTTCATACACAGAACCTGTCCTTAAACACTCCAGTATGTTTTTCCTACTATGTTGAGATTATCTTTGACTCTCATTTATGAACATCAGATGGTGGTGTAAGAATATAGGAAGGCTGTAGAGCTGTATAAACCATGTGCCTCAATCACAGAGGGAGCTCCAACTTTTGGGTCTTTTATGTGGGGCTTGACTTGGACCCAGAGAAATAGAGACTATTTTAGATAGCTGTGTGGTGAGGAAAATGGTTTATGAGAATATAGTGATAATTGGTATCTTTTGTTAAGCCTTATTAGGATTGTTAGTGAATGTCTGGGCATTGTAATCTCATTTTATAGATGAGGACATTGGGAGGTTAAATAACTGGTAGATCTGAGATTCAAAACAGCTATTAGACCTCTAGAGAGAGGTTGTAAAGACCTCAATGTGTGTAAGAATATAGCAATTTTCATTTGTTTAGATTCTCTCATGTGAATTTTGACAGTTGAATTAACATCAGGGTGGTAAAAAAAAGCATAAGGGGATTCTGGAGACCTCATTTGCTTAATGATCTTTGGCAAGCCCCCTTCTCGTTCCTCCTGTGTGGCCTCAGTGAACAGAGAGGTTCTAGACTCTTTAAGTTTTCTTTTTTTAAAAAAAAAAAAAAAATATTTATTTATTTTTAAAGATTTATTTATTTATTTATACAAGCACTGGCTACAGTCAGAAGCACGGGAGGGTGAGAGAATTCACCAGAGCAAGAGCGGACAGCAGAGCAGGCAGACTGACGATGTACACTGCTGAGGGGAGCAGCGGGCGTCAGGAGAGGTCTGCGCGCCATGTGGGACCCTCGCCCAGTGGCTGGGGATCAAACTGGCTCTGCAGAGGCTGTGGGCAGCTTCGCAACCCAGCACTCAACCGCTGCGCCACCGGGTGGCCCCCCTTTTATTTTCTTAAAGGGAGTTTAATTTATATTTAAAGATGATAATAGAATATATCATTTGTCATCCTGTTTTCAATTTGAGAACAAAGCAGGTTTATAACTTGCTAGTGGAGGGGGTTGGGAAAAGGAGTTGGTGTATCTTTAAGCTCCCTAAAACCTCTTTCAGATCAGGCTGTTGCTTCTAGCTTTAGAGACCCAGATCATGTTTGAATGGAAACGTAAGTAAACAACCACACATACATTCACACACACCCCCCTTAAATTGCAGTTGTACAAAATAAGATGGACAATCAATATTCTGTGCCACATTATGTCATCATTTACCTTAAGTAAGGTATAAGACTAAACCATTCAGATACCAAAAAGTTAACACTTGTCTAAATTCAAGGCTTCATTCAGAGCCTGAGACCCTGCTCTCAGCCAAAAACTCTGATTCTTTAGATCATCTCTATGGTTGTCACTGCCGTGTCCCTACCTGGCTGCCGCTGGGTGCATGCAGGGTCTGCTTGCTCCTGTCAGTGGCGTTGTCTGTCAGTGACTCTGCTGCCTGCCGGCCCTCTGCCCTGCAGGCCAGCCCAGAACTGGATTCCTGGCACGATTTAGAAAAGAAAGTAAAGCTTTCTAAAAATTGGCAGGGATGTCAACTTGCTTTCCAGATTCAGAGTAGCAGCGCTGAGAGTCTGACCCCAACACAGGCAACTTCTCTTACAGAGCCTACTCTTCGGGTCTCTTATGCGTCTGGTCCATCCATGGCTCAAGTGAAATGTTCCAGTGGAGGGAAATTATTTTTCTTTTTGTCGGAATGGTGTTACTTGGGGAGTTACATTATCTTTTCAAGGTTCTTTCAGACTAACCTTTACTACCTTTCATGATAGTGAAAATAGGAACTAATGTAAAACCTGATGTTTTATGTTATGAAAATATTTCCACAAATGTTTATTCTTTTATGAAATTATACAGACTTTTAACTCATATTTACATAGCCTAATATGTATGCCTGCAAATTGAACTTTGTAAAACATTTGAAATTAGAGATTAAAGAACCTAACAAATTTACATAAAATTTTTTATTGTACAGAATTCTAACATGGAACAACTCAGTTTTGTGTGTATGATTTAGTGTGCATTTCTAAACTTATTAGAAATAAATTATACCGATACAGTCTTCGATTTGGACATGTTTCTTTACAAGTGTGGTTTCTGCTTGTGTGTTTCTGCTTCTGCGGCCCATGTTAATACTGCGGTGCAAGTAACTGTAGACTCCTGCAAGGGCCCTGGCCCCTCAGACTGGGAGCTTGCCAGGGCAGTTCTTTGATTTGTCTTGTTTGTTTAATGGGAGTGGGAGGGGCTTAGACTCTGTTTTCCCTCTTTCTTGTATAAGAGCCAATAAAATATATTGTGAGAAATGCCGAACCTTTGAGATGCTTTCCTATCATTTTCTTCCCAGGGGCTTGAGATCCTTAATAATAATTCTGGGGAAGAGAAAGGGAAAGAGAAAGTGAACACGTTTAATTTGAAAACTGTCTTTTTGTTTGATTTGTTAATTTGTTCACATTACTGTTTTTTTTAAGTTCAGATTCATTGCTGGTAGGTTTTTACAACTACTGAAGTATTTTTGTTTTGCCTTAGAATTCAAACGTTACCATTTGGTTGGAAATTTAACTTTATTATCAGACATCATTTCTAGGAGATAGATTAGTGGTTGCCTGTTGTGTTTTATTGAATAAGTATCAAATTGATGGAGATAGTATTCAGTTGTATCAAAACATTTATTTATTTTCGCTTTTGAGCTTTTTTTTTTTTTAGTCTTTTTGCAGTATGGGAAATAATTGATACTGAAGTTTCCCCCTTCTTCTTTTAAAGACTTTCAGCTGAACTCTCATCTCTCAACACTGGCAAATATTCATAAGATCTACCACACCCTTAATAAACTAGTAAGTCAATCCTTTAAAAACAATACTACCAACTGTTTGAAGTAGTTGTTTTGAGTGTATATTTGATAAAAATTTAGATGACAGATATTAAGATATCAGCTGTTTATAAAAATACTAAATTTTAAAACTTGCTGCATGATATGTGATTTTTTTAGTAATAATGAGCATATTTTTTTCAGAATTTAACAGAAGACGTTGGCCAAGACGATCACCAAACAGGTATCTATGATGCTAACACTACTTAATTTTAAATAAACTTCCTCATACAAAGTTTTGACAACTAGTTGAGCATGCTGTATGTTGCTGTAATACACTCCACTAATAGGTAGTTACTTGGCTGGAGCTGATTCTTCGGTTGTAGTGAAGGCAGCCATGTTACATCGTCTTCCCAGTAAGAAATCTCTTTTAGGGGTGCTGGGTGATGACAGCATGCTTTAATCCCTTTAAAGGGGCGAGGGATTCTCCGTTGTGTTTTTAAGATATTGTTTTGCTATTGAAGTATTTTAGTTTATATTAAAATTGTACTATTTAAGAATGCAGTTTGAAAGGTATTCCATAAATGCCCGTTGAATTGATATAAAAAATGATTTGGTAGTTAGCTAAGGGTGTGTGTGTGTTTCTTGTATAGGTCCTGAGGATTTATGAATGGAAAAATTGATTATTGTAAATGATTCTCTACCCTTGTGATTCTCAAAATTTAGCTAGCAATTATCACTTGGGGAGGCCCCGTTACAACAGAGTGGTAGGCTCTGCTCATGTTGTTTCTGATTCTGTAGACTTGGGGAGAGGCCCTAGAGTTTGCATTCCTGGCAGGTTCCCTGATGGTGCTGGTGCTCCTGGTTGGAAGACCACACTTTGAGAACCACTCTCTATAAACTGTTGATAGTCATAAGGTTCAGAAACTTACATTTGATCAATGGTCCTAAAACTTCCAGCAGAAGTTATTATATATTTTAATATTTTGAAAATATATTTTAAAAGTATTAAATTTATATATTATTAAATTTTATAAAATATATTAAATTTTTTTGAAATTTACCACAGTAATATGTGAATATATGCTTGTTGCAGAATTTTGAATAGCACAGAAGTAAATGGAGTAAAAAGTGACAGTCTTCCTTCATGTCTTCGAATTCACCCACTTTCCCCTCAGTATATACTATTCAATATTTGTTGTTCTAGACATCTTTATGCATGTTTTTATAGAAGGTTTTCCATTTAGCATCATTGAGATTATATTGTACATAGTATAGAGCATTTGTCTTTTCAAATAATGCTGTATATTGGAGGGTGTTGGGATTCGGAACTCTCCCCTCCCTTCCCTCCAAATTGATTCTGAATCATTTGAAAATTAGGCACAAAAAGGAACTAAAACAAATGTGCTGCAAGAATACACAGACTTGGGCCTCCCCAGTGGCGCAGCAGTTGAGCGCTGGGTTGCGAGGCTACCCGCAGCCTCTGCAGTGCCAGTTCGATCCCCGGCCACGTGAGGGTCCCACAAAAAAAAAAAATAAAAAAGAATACACAGACTTTACAGTATTTTACCTCAATTACCCTAACACCCATTCGTCACCATGACTAGATCAGGACAGGCCATCACACTCTTTTGACCCCCTTTTAGTCCTCTGACTTATGACACAAGTATCTGTTGACAGCCATATCTTAAAGAGTGTTGGGAAGGGGTAGGCTCCTTTCCTCAAGTCCTTCTTCCTGCATTCACCAGTTAGCTCAGACTTTCCTCCTTTCAAGGAAAGAAGTTAGAAAAGGGGGCTGAGACCATGCCTGGAATGTTCTAGAAGACCAGGCCATAGAGGGCCCCTTTCCTGACCTTTCTTGTCATTTAGTACAGATCAACTAAAAATAATTTTAAAAGTGTTATATGCACATTGTTTTAAAAGAAGTGTTGAAAATGTATAAAACAAAGTGAAGGCTTCTGTCCCATTTTAGTACCTCACCCTCCACATTTGTTCTCCAGAGAAACACATTCTTATATCTGTTTCCCAAATGATGATGATGACACATTTTCCCCCAAATCCAAGTATATATTTGTTTGTACATCTTATTTTGTCACTCAGATATCTTTTATAGTAGCACATTTATAAAACATCTGTTTTACCTTTTAATGTCTGTATAATTTTCTATTTCATGAATAGATGTACACTGATATACGTTTGATGTACATTTAAATATGTTTAACTTTTTTCTGCTGCCAATAATGCTGAAATGAAATTTCAGGTCAGCGCCAGTTTCAATAGTTAAGAAAAAGAGCACATTTCTCTCCTATACTGGAAAAATATGTTGGTGTACTTTGAAGATTTTTTTTAAACTTAAAGAGTTAGTGAAGTTTTGATATTTAAAACTGAATTTTATACTTGTGAAGTCTTTAGGTTGTCTTTCCCTTAGTGCAGGTAATAAGACCTTTAAGTTCTATGTATTGTGTATTATATAGTTAACTTTGAACTTTGGGTTTAAATGAGTATTGTTATATAGTAGTTTCACATCTTAATATTTAACCTGAATGTGTCAATTTAATAACTAAGCTGTAATTAAGGAAAATGAAAGTGGCCTCATATCCCCTCTTTCACCCTTGGGGACAGTGGTTATATCTGATGTTTAGTAAATGACATGTTGGTGTGTTGCTGATACCACAAGTCAGTCAGTGTAAATTAGCATCAGTAGCTTCTTTTTTTTTTAAGATTTATTTATTTTTTTAAGATTTATTTATTCATTCATGCATACAAGAACTGGGGTACAGGCCAGATGTGCGGGAGGGTTAGAGGATTTACCAGAGACAGAGTGGGGAACAGAACAGGCAGACTGATGAAATACAGTGCTGAGGGGAGCAGCGGGTGAGACAGGAGAGGTCTGCCATGCCATGTGGAATTCTCACCGGCCAGCCAGGATCGAACCCACGCTGTAGAGGCACTCCGGACAGCTTTACCGTGTGGTGCTCAACCGCCTGAGCCATCAGGGGAGGCCCACCATCAGTAACTTCTTGACAGTAGTCCATTTCATTTAACACTTCCCATCGGTTATAGCATCACTTGTGTGATTATCATATCTGACAGAGTATACTATAAAAATTAAATGACATAAAATCTATGTTTGCAGATATGAGAAAATCACCGTGGTGCTCTTTTGAATCTCTGGACCCACTGTACTTTGAGCATTATCTATAAAAAACTGTATATGGAATAACCAGACCTAAGGATAAAAGGGGCTCATGTCTTCCAGCTTTGATGCTTCCAATCTTCCAGTGAGTGAGTGAGAGAGAGGGAACACTAAATGTAGAGAAATAAGCGCAAAATATAGGGAGTGAATTTTAAGAAACTCAACAAAGAGCACCAGAAAAATGAATAAGGAAGACACTGATATCAGAAGTCAATATTAGGGAAAAGGGAAGATAAATTTTGTCTTAAACAGTAGGATAAAAATTGGGCATTTGCTTGCTTGTTTCACTCAAGCAAGCAAATAGGTCAGGGATCTGTTCAGGAAAATGAAATTAAACATTAGGCACTCATAAGAAGTCTTAAAATGCAATCTGTTTATTGACTTGAAATCATTTGCACAATGAAAAGTGAGGTGGAATAGCTATATGAAAGTATTGAAGTAGCAGAATGAATCATGTAAAATCTTACTAAGTGAAACAAGGCAATGATACAGCAAATTTACTAAAATGAGAAATTAGATGGTGAGATTTTTTTATGGGAATATGTGTTTGTACTAAGTTTGGAAAAGTCAGAAAACTTCTAATTTTATTGACTTCTTGTTGGGGTTGGGACTGGAAATTGGGTACACAATTTAACATCTTATAGAAATGAATTCTGATCAGGATTTTTTTTTAACTTGAGGCCCACAAGTAGAAAGATTTATTATTATTTTTTTTAAAAAAGGAGGCAGTGGAGTATCTACTTAAATACCATTTATTAAGAATGACATGCTCAGTTAAATTGTCATCCAAACAGCAAGCTGGGTAAACATTAAAGGGCCTTTGGTCTAATCTAGATGAACTCAAGTTGCTCCTTAAAATTTATATTCTAGGACTAAATAATAGGATGTGTTGGAAAATGTTGGCAGTATTTCTAATTATTTAATGAGAGAAGAATGGCTATATTCACTGACTGATTTATCTGAAAGTATAGTCGGTTAATAGAATGTTTAATTTGTTCTCTTTAAACACTGAACCCAAAAGAAGTGAATCTGAACTCGAATCATAACCCTTTGTAAAAAAAAAAAAAAAAGAAAAGTTATGTTGCTTGCCTAAGGATCACATAAAAAAGAATCAAAGACTGGGGGCCTCTCTGGTGGTGCAAGGGGTTAATCACTGCACTATGAAGCAATTCGCAGTCTCTGGCAGCCAGTTCGATCCCAGCTGGCTAGGGAGCTACCCACATGGCTCAGTAGACCTCTCCTGACTCGCCCACTGTGTCCCCTCAGCAGTGTATTTCAGTAGATCTGCCTGTTCTGTTCCCCACTCTGTCTCTGGTGAATCCTCTCACCCTCCACAACTCTGGCCTGTACCCCATCTCTTGTATGCATGAATAAATAAATCTTAAAAAAAAAAAAGTTTGAAAAAAAAAGAATCAAAGACTTCAAATGATAGGAGAGTTGATTGCAGACTTGCTGTCCATCTAAATGTTGAAGTATTTAGACTGAACACCAGAATATCAATCAAGATAATATTATGGAGTGTGAATTATAGTTTGGGAATACTTGCTGAGATTCTTCTCTTCTGCTTCTTCCTTCTTTATATTATGAAAAATTGTGACTTTCATATATAGCTAGTAAATATTTCTTTTTTTTTAAAAAGATTTATTTTATTTATTTATGCATACAAGAACTGAGGTTTATGCCAGAGGTGGGGGCGGGGGTGGGGGGTTGTGTGAGAAGCTGCCAATAGCTTCATAGTGCTGAGACTTAACCTCTTGCATCACCAGGGAGGCCCTCTGCTAAATATTTCTTTTTTTTTCTTTTTTTCTTTTTTTTTTTAAAGATTTATTTATTTATTTATGCAAGCACTAGTTACAGTCAGAAGCGCGGGACGGTGAGAATTCACCAGAGCCAGAGCGGGGAACAGAACAGGCAGACCGACGAAATACACTGCTGAGGGGAGCAGCCGACGTCTGGGGATCGAACCAGCGCTGCAGAGGCTGTGGGCAGCTTCACAGCCCAGTGCTCAACCGCTGCATCACCAGGGGAGGCCCTCTGGTAAACATTTCTAATGGGATTTAAAATGGATTCTTAAAATCATTTTTAAGATTTTGCTTGGGGGCCTCCTTGGTGGCACAAAAGGTTAAGTCTCAGCACTATGAAGCTATCAGCAGCCACTGCCACAAGCAAGCTTCAAAGGAGCTAACTTACCCAGGGAGCTAACTTCTCCACTGCTCCCCTCAGCAGTGTATTTCAATAGATCTGCCAGTTCTGCTCCCCACTCTGTCTCTGATGAATCCTCTCACCGCACCCCTCTCACCTTTGTCCTACACCCCAGTTTTGTATGCATAAGTAAATAAAATAAATCTTTTAAAAAAAAAAGATTTTTCTTGGGTACTTGGCAAAGAATAAAACATGCATTGCCAATCATGTTAAATGACCTTTTGGGTTTCTTGAAGTTTGTTAAGAAGTTGCTTTTATATGTTAAGTACTTATTGATCTAGGATCTTTCAGATGCTCAATTTTATTGGCCATTTTTAAAAATCTAATCGAGGCAGTAATAATACCTTTTAGATTTGTGAATATAAGGTAACTTTAAAAGTGCTTTGCAACTATTAAGTTTATTAAAATACCAGTTTTAGTAGGTTTCTTTTGCCTCTACCTATAGTATTAGATTGTACTCATAGATTTTTTTTTTTTTTTTTTTTTTATAGAGGCATGTTTTATTTATTTATTTGTTTGTTCGTTTGTTTCGTTTATACATGCACTGGGTACAGTCAGAAGCGCGGGAGGGTGAGAGAATTCACCAGAGCCAGAGCCGGGAGCAGAGCAGGCAGAAGGACCGAAGTACACTGCTGAAGGGAGCAGCGGGCCGCAGGAGAGGTCTGCGCGCCATGTGGGACCCTCCTCTGGTGGCCGGAGCAGCCGGGGATCGAACCGGCGCTGCAGAGGCTGCGGGCAGCTTCGCAACCCAGCGCTCAACCGCTGCGCCACCGGGGAGGCCCCATAGATATTTTTAAAACATTCATATAGTTTATTCTTTGAAGCAGATAAACATTGCATAGCTTCCTTATGTTATTTGCTTGCAAATTTTTTATTAGTTTAAAGGTAGTTCAGCTTAATTGAAGATTAAGTGATAAAAATGTTGAGCTAGTAAAGTCTAAATTAAGACTATAACTATACGTTTGTAAAACATTCTTTTATGTTTAAGAATTTTTATTATAAAAAAATCACAGAGTTGCTTTAAGAAGTAAACATTCTTGAATATTTGTATTTTAAAAAAATCCTACCTACCAGAAAACTTAAAGTCTGGTTTCACGGACAGATGGAAAAAAAAATCTGAAATGATTAGGTGTATATTTTTTTTAAGCAGAATTTTATTTATGCATGTTTTAGGAACATATTTATTCAACAAAAACTGAGAGTCTACTGCTGCAGTCTCAGTAACGCGTATATCTTACTACTGTACTGAGATATTGTGTTAGCTGCTGTATATACACAGGTGAACCAGACAGGGCCCTTCCAAATGAACCCCTTTGTAAGTGTCCTTAAAACTGAGTTGCTGCTCTTGCTCAGGTAGGATCCCTGAGGTGGAAGGGAGCAGGTTCAGGCCAAAAAGTCTGGAATTGAGTGACCTCTGTGTATTTTGTTGATTTAGTTCATGTTAGTAAATTTTATTTTAAGTAAGCTTGTTATCCTCGACATTAAAAAAATTGCTTTTTATGTAGCCTGGGACTCTTCATTGTCATGGGTTCTAAGGTTCTTCCTGCAGAGCTGTGCAGTGTAGTCCTTTGTAACTTTGCTGGGGTATTAGTTTGCTTCAGCCTTCCTGAGGGGTGGGGATGAGAGGACCAGATACCAGTGAGTGCCGGAACTGCAGTGGGCATCAGGGAGTTGAACAGACATCATTCCTCTGTGAAAGATGGCCCCATACAGTTGATCGTGACTTCATGCACTGCTTTCCAGGGCTCCGTTGCTCTTTCTGTTTTGCTTTTCTTCATTTGAAAAATGGGATGCTGACAATGCCTACCTCTGAGCGTTGTTGTGAGGCGTGATGAGTGCCAATATTCCTCCATTGTGACTTGCAGACAGTGTTTCTTTATATTCCCAGTGTCCAGCTGCCCACAGCACTTGGCACAAAGCACTGATTGAATGGATTTTTTTCCCTCAAAAAATCCTGATAGGTAGATATCACAGTTCTCATTTTTCAGTTGATAACCAGAATAGGGTATTGACCAAGCCACAATAGTTAAATGAAAAGCTGGAGTACATTTATTGAATGAAGATCACTCAAACCCTGGTGCTGTGTGCTCTCTCTTGTCCCGAAAGCCCACTGAAAGGTCCAGGCCTTCTGTCATGGGGCCAGCAGGAGGAGGAGAGATGTGGGGTCCAGAATGTAGCATTTAACACTTCTGAGACCTTGCGAAGTCACCCAAATGCCTAAGACCTAGTTTTCCCCACCTATTAGGTAGAGATAATTATCTCTGCCCTGCCTGTCATTCTGGGTTATTGTGGGAACCAAATGACATACTTGATCTACTAGCACCCATGCCAAGATGTAGAGTATCTTAATTATCTTTTAATTGTCCTGTAATTTATAATGATTTGAGACAGCTTAAGTGAGACTGGGTTTGAATCCCAATTTTTCCACTTACCTAACCTCTCACCGCCTCCATTTTTCATCTGCATAGGCAATAATGATGGTTCTTTTTTCATAAGCTTGTTATGAGGTTAAATAAGTGAATACATGCCAAGTGTTAGAACAGGGCCTGTCACACTAAGGTCTCACTGAGTGCTCAGTTATTATTGCTTGTTATTGCATTTTGATATCTTACCATGGCAGTGCTTTTGAAAACCACATTGAGGGTTGAACGAATCTACTTCAGATAGCAGAAACAAACTAAGAAAATTATTATGGTCAACATCATGTCAGACTTCTGCCCTCAAATCGAAATCCTTTTTTTTTTTTTAACCAGATGTACCTTGAAATTTAAGAGGGTTGGGACTGATATGCTTGTATGTATTTTATTTTATTTTTATGTTTTTAAAGATTGATTTATTTATGCGTACAAGAACTGGGTTACAGGGCCTGCCTGGTGGCTCAGCAGTTGAGCGCTGGGCTGCGAGGCTGCCTGCAGCCTCTGTAGCGCTGGTTCATTCCCTGGCCACCGGCGAGGGTCCCACAAAAAAAAAAAAAGAACTGGGTTACAGGCCAGAGGTGTGTGTGTGGGGTGAGAGGATTCACCAGAGACAGAGTGGGGAACAGAATAGGCAGATTGACTGAAACACCCTGTTGAGGGGAGCGGCAGGTGAGACAGGAGAGGTCTACTGTGCCATATGGGCAGCTCCCTGGTTCGCAGATTGAACTTTTGCAGCAGAGGCTGCGGGCAGCCTCATATGTTGTGTCTTAACCCCTTGTGCCACCATAGAGGCCCTGTATGTATTGTAGACTTGAGTTGGATCTTGCTTAATGAAGTCATAAATGAGATGCAGTACAATTCCTTTTGAAGGAGCATTGACATGTAAGAAAAGCTGAAAGATAATTTAGGTAATTTATAGCAGTATTTTTGGAGAGTAAATTTAAGTTGTGATAACTTCTATATCTGGTGTGGCTTGGGAGGGAAATATTAGCGTATTTGTGCCATTGTAATATTTATTTTTTGACTGTAACATTTGCTCAAGGAACTAAAAGCTGTCTCTTTACTGCATAGTATTTACAGATAACACTAACTCCTTTATGCTACAAGTCATGAAAGTTTATGTCTGAGAGGTGACGTCCTAATTATGAAGTGTTATAATACCTTAATTCTGGGCCCCTGGCATGCTCTTTCTATAGGAAGTCTGCGATCCTGCAGTTCTTCGGACTGCTTTAGTAAAGTGATGCCACCAAGGAAAAAGAGAAGACCTGCCTCTGGGGACGATTTATCCGCCAAGAAGAGTAGGCATGACAGGTATGTCACAGAGACACTAGGTCAGAACTGATGACATCCATGTTAAAGACACACCATCCTCCCTAGCCCAGTGTGGGTCTTCCAAGTGTACAAATGCCAACTGGAATATTGCTTTGTTTCTGCCAGGTGACCTTCCAATGTATAATTATTTCGTGATTTTACTTTCGATGTAGGTTTATTTAAAAAAAAATTAGAGTTCTTCGAAATTAAACCTTCATCTTAGTACACTTATCTGCCAGAACTGGTATAGACTTCCTTTCAAGGGCTTGTTATCTGTGCCTGCTGGGAACTGCAGATTGTTGTGTATCTATTCTGTGAGAGGGTCTTGCTCACTAAATACTGCCACAGAAGTCTTGTAATTGCCTTTGCAAAGGACTAAAGGATCTGAGTCCTTGGCTGCAGAGAGCTCCTGTCCTGAATATGCTAAACTTGCCTGGGACATTAGCTGAGCTGAGATTCTTTCTCAGAAGAGTCACAGTTTGTTAGAAACTGTGAAAATCAAGACTGTTTAACCCCCTTTTTTTCAGACAAGTGAACTGTTAATTTTGGCAACTCCAAAGATCTGTTATACTTGTTTATTTTAGACATCTTTACTGTTTCACCCTGATTTTAATGTCATTTTTTCCTCTCTACCTTAAAGAAAAAAAACATTGAACAAACATTGTAGTTTTAATCTTTTCTGCCTTTTTCCATCTTCCTGAAGACAGAAGCTCTGTAGGTCACTTCACTGATGGGGCTGAACTTCCACATCTATAAATCAAAGAGATTAGATTTTTCTGTTCTTTCTTACTGAAATACTTCATTTTTCTACAACTTACAAGGATAGAGAGATGGACTATAAAATAATGTCTTACTATATCTTAGATGAGCAGAAAATATCTGAAAGAAGATAGCAGCGGTTTAGAAGATAACCACCAGCAATTTAGACCAGTAATTTTTTAGCTTTCATGTTACTGGACAATCTTCTGGTGATTAGATGTTTTTATCAGTGAATTATTAAGATCTAATAATCATTTGGCATTTTGTGACCATCTGTAGCACTTTGTATTTTTCACCACAGTCTGATACTAATTTAGTATGGAAAAGCTAATTTAAAAACTGGTGAGCAGGGTTGCAGAAAAATGTACCCTTATTGATAGCACTTCAGGGGTCATCCAAGGAAATTAGGTATCCTTCAGCATTATGAGTTTCATCATTGGTTTTTTTTTTTCCCTTTTAACTTTAGTTACATACCATAATTTGTACAATTTCAGTGTACAATTCAGTGATTTTGACTAAACTGTCAGAGTTGTGCAGCCATGGTTAAACCAGTTTTAGAGGATTCGTATCACCCCAATCCATAATGCCTATTTGCAGTCACCTTCTGTTTCCATCCCCAGCCCCAGGGCAACCATGAAGCCATTTCTATCTCTAGAGATTTGCCTTTTCTGGACAGTACATATAAATGGCCCTATTGTGTCTTGCTCCTTTTAGTTATGATTTTGAGGTTTATCCATATGGTAGCATGTATTAACATTTTATTTCTTCTGTTTGCTGAGTGGCATTCATTATTCCTCTTTATGTAGGTTTTTTTGTAAGTAGGTAAAACCTTACTCTCTTATGTAGGTCTTCAGATTGTTGATCAGTTACAGACTTTGAGCTGAGCTAGGAATGTCTGAGTCCAGAGTTGGAGCATTCTTGTTTGAATGCTTGGGCAGTATCCACCTTTCTTCTTAGGTAGTATGAATTGACTACCTTTTATAGAATAAATACAAAATTGGTGGTTTATAGTTTCAGTAATTTAACACCTTATAACCATTTTATTTATTTATTCATTTTTGTATGAGAACCCAGAGTCTTTAATCAGAGATTATATACAGATATTCTTGTGAAATCTAGGTCATGAGTAAACACTCATTAAAAAGGAATTACATATGTTTTTTTATATTTTTAATGTAAATAACAGTCATTTATACATGTTTATTTAATGACAGCTTATATATGACTAAGGGGTAAACTGAAATAAACTTTGTATCAGTGTCACTGTTTTAAACAAACTGCTTCCTCTCTCCTTCCCAAGTAGGGAACATCTTGGTCCTCAAACCTGGGTTATCATGAAATAAGGAATTCTTGTGGAAGCTCCCAGGGTTGCAGGAGGGGGTTGCTGTGTTTCCTGTTAGTTCTCTTGCTTTTACTGGGTGTTCCCACTAAGTTGTAGGGTTTCTCTATACTGCGATCTCCTGAGGTCTTTAAGGTTGCACTCATCAGGAAACCATCCAAGGAATTTTCTCTTGTCACCCTTACTCCTGGAGACTGGTACATGATTTGATGGTTCTTTTTGTTTAATGTTTTCTTAAGGTGACTGATACTGACATGTCCTTCCTTAGACTGCTCTTTGCCCAGCCTGACTGGTAAGACACAGAAGTCAGGAGAACTTAATGCAGAGGCATGAGGAAGCTCTAGGGTCATTGATTGAGGAAAATACTTTAAACATTTCTTGCTGTCATTCTGCAGTTAGTTCTGGGTACTGAAGTAGAAGAGAGTCTATCAATACCTTTTTATTCCATTCTTATCACTGTTTGCTAATCAGAGAAAAAGCTGTATTAAATGCTTACCATTTAATTCTACAGTGGGTATGAACATGCTTAAAACTGTAGTTTTAAAAGCTGAAGCTTCCCACTGCAGGAAGTAAAATATTTAAGATATACTTGAGATAGTGATTGAATAGATGTCTGGTTTGGGTAAAAGAAAAAAAAAAAATCTCTTTAAAAAAACTCAGCTTCTTTAAGTAATTTAAAACTGCTTTTTCAATTTCTAGTATGTATAGAAAATATGATTCAACTAGAATAAAGACTGAAGAGGAAGCCTTTTCAAGTAAGAGGTGCTTAGAATGGTTCTATGAATATGCAGGTAGGTAATCATTTATATCATCTAACACTGACCCCCATGAAAGCAAAGAATACCTTAGAGGGAATTAAAGAATAAAAAATAGGTACTTTTCAAATTTGCTGCAGTGTGTTTGTGTGTGTGTGTGTGTGTGTGTGTGTGTGTGTCCGTGTCCCTGTCCCTGTCCCTCTGTGTTTGAGGGAGGGAACATAGTTGAAACAAATCACCCAGTGTCCTATTTATAGCCGGCAGCTAAGCCAAAGAATTCAGAACACTACAAGGGAACTGAAAAGATGAAATGTACTTGGGAGGAATACTTTGGATTGCTTGGAAACCTATTTAGAATGTTGGTAACGGGTGATTATTTGGTTTACGCATCAAAGTTAAAATAAGCCTTGCTGCTTTAAACCTTTATGTGGTGCAACAGAATTTCCTATATTAAGTGTCTTTTTTTGAAAGATCATTTGGCAGAAAATGTTTGTCTTGTTATTTAAAATGTCTTATATTCAGTCCCATTTTTGCAAGCATTATAATTGGTTGGTTAATGTAATACTGAAATCTAAGGTTTGTTATTGTGACTGCATATGCTGTAAAGAAGAGAAAAGCAATTTTTCAGACAACTTTGAGCTGAGGGCTTTTGAACCTTTCCTCTTCACTTCATTTCCGGCCGCCTTTTACCTATCATATTGACTGTTGCAACAACTTTAAAATGAGTTTTCCTGTTAGTAGCCACTGCTCCCAACCAGATTCCCTGTGTCTTCTGTTATTAAAAAACAACAACAACAACAAAATGATCTACAGGATTAAATGATCTACAGGATTCCCTAACAATCCACTCCACCTTCAGCTGATAATTAAAATCCCCTGCTACCTAACTCACTCACTGTTATGCCTTTGGAGTGTTTTTCTTCACTTTTCCATATGAAAAGCTGTCTTACATCTTTTAATCCCCTTAATTAGTGTAATAGCCTCTATGTACTCCCACAGGACAGTTTTCATAACTAGTATTGATATCCATTTATTGGCTATCAAAATGAGGATTCCTCTTGTGCCTTGATCTTATCATTTTCCCCCTCCCATTTCTTCCCCTCCCCTCTCTCTGATGAAAGAAACCCTTGCATTTTTGGCTCCAGAGATTTTTCCAGGGGCCTGGCAGGTAAGCCAGGCCACACCAGTCAGATAAAGTTTCCTGGGATTTTCAGATCGAGGCTGGTGGTGAACTTGGAAGGATGTGATCCTGACTGCTATAGTTCTGGGACTTCTGTTAGTTACCCTAGTATCTTTCTAGTTAATTTCCTATGGTCACATGAACTAAATTGAGCTGAATTTTCTTTGTAGGGCTTAGCACTAGAGCAAACACTTATATAGTCTTAGAATTTATCTGTTTTCATATTCATGTCATTAGAACATGCATCTCTTAGAGATATTTTGTATTCCCAGTAAAAGTAATTGGTAATTTCCAGGTGCTGAATGAATGGCGATTTTCTCATTTTTGTATCACTCAATTATGAAGATCTTTGGCTTTCTTATTTTGGTTCACCTGTATTGTTATGAAAATGTTCTTTAAAATGGAAATTTTAAACAGGAGAGGTATGCTTAGTCCCACCATCATAACACAGCTCTGTTGATTTGTGTGTATGTTTTCCTTAACAGGCAACCATAGATTTTTCCATAGTATAAGCCACAGTTCTGTTTGCTTTAAAAAGAGAGCAGGCTACAATTTTCTTTCTTTGCTTTTCTCTGGTTGTGGAGGTGACGTGGGATAAAGATTAAGTCACATTCTTTTGGTTCCTCAAGATTGCTGCTGGTGCTTCCTTATAGTTCATTTCTGTAGGAAGTTTTTGTGGGTGTAGCTCTATTTTTTTATACCCTTCCTCCTCCCCCCCTTTTTTTCCTTCCTTTTTTGAATCTTATCAGTAAGGAAAAAGGGTTGACTTGGGAATAATTAAAAGTCCCAACTGACGCTTGCTGTCTCCTTCAGTGTCCCAACCACACCAATAGAAACTGTAGGTCAGTATTATTCAAGAAAAAAACCTGTGGTAAGAAGGTGCAGGGTGAACGTCAGGTTGGTCTAGAGGATGAGTCTGGGACAGGTTGTGAGGCAGCAGGCCCCTAGATGCTAGAACGAGGGGGCCTTTTCATTTTCCTAAGGAAAGAGCCAGTTGGCTTGGGTTGAAGATAAATGCTATCTCCCTGCACCAATTTTGAGGGGGAGTAGAAGGGCTGTAGGGGCCTGGGTGGACCTGGACATGTTTAGGGGCACTGTTCACCCCCCACTCTGCTTTGCATGACTCCTGTAGCCTGAACTCCCCTCCTCTTGCTTCTCTCTGGCCAGTTGACCCCGTTCTTCATCCACTCCATGACGCTGCTCTCACCTTTTAAATCCCTGTCAACTCAAATTTCTGATTCTTAGAAATTTAATAAGTAAAACCTTTTCCACTAGGGATGCTTCCTTTCTTTGTTGTTATTACTGGTTTACTCCTTTTTTTACTTTAATACTTTAGTTCCTTAGATAATTTGAGACTTTAGGAAGGATTGTTGGGGTCATCGTTGCCGGGAGCATGGTGTTTATGCCTCCACTTGAAACTGGAATCCTTGTCTTTTCACTAGAATGAAAATAATCAGTTTTGCATAAATATTTTATCAAAATAGTTTCTGCTTTCTAAGCCCTATGCCTAACAATAAGGAGTTAAACCACATATACAGGTGCCAGCATTGACTTCAGAGTTACACTAAAGCTCACCTATTTAGGTCAAAACTGCTTTACAAGTCCGGACTGTAGGCCCTTAGTCTCTACTTTGGATTCAGTTCTGTAGCAGAATTGTTTTTTCCATTTATCAGAATGAGATCAGGGACCAGGAGCCAGGTGCTCAGTGACCAGGTGGTCTGTCAGTGATGCTAAAAACTGCCAAAGAAGACAGCGTGGCCATGTTTACCTCAGTGGTGTAGTGTGGTGTAATTACTGAAACTTTACCAGGCGGGTCTTGAGCCTTCACGAAAGATCAAATATGTTTAATTAGGAGCCTCTGCTTATGATGATAGGGGAAGTAGGCAGACCACTTTTCTGTAGGTTGTTGTCAGATCTGACTTCCAGATGTACCTCCAACACCTTGTCACCATCACATTTCAGAGCTGATATTTTAGGTATAATTTAAAAAAAATTATCTTCCTTGAACCCTCCTTTTATCCTGCTTTGTGTTGGCCTTAAGATAATAATTTTTCTTTAATCTCTCAGCCTAGATACTTTACAGTAGTGGAATGATGGAAAGAGCTATGAACATATACATAGAGACATGCACATGCCCAATATATTGTGGAGCAATATAAAATGTATCAATTAACAAGAATAAAGTAATTGTATAGGCTCTTCCATAGGAAGATTATCTTACACATTCAGTGAAAAAAGTAAGGTGTAGAATTTATAGGGATAGCATGAGCCCATGTGTATGGATAAAGAAATTTAAAACTGTGTTTCACTGTGTCTGCTTTCTGAACTATATGCCCAACAATAAGGAGTTAAACTACATATACAGGTACCAGCATTGACTTCAGAGTTACACTAAAGCTTACCTATTTAGGTAAAAAAAGCTCTACAAGTTCGGACTGTAGGCCCTTAGTCTCTATTTTGGATTCTGTTCTGTAGCAGAATTGTTTTTTCCATTAATAAAATTTGGGTCAGGTTTATGTATTAATACAGAAAAAATAGCAAGCTAAAATTTAAATACACTGAGTTTTCTTCTAATAATCAAGATAACTAGGAATACATAGAATAAGATATAAAATGAAGGAAAAAAGAAAACTTAAAAAGGTAAAATTAAACATATGAAACAAAACCTTTTGCAACAAAATAGTACATTTATGATTAGAAAGAAAATAACAGCATGTAGAAAAGGTATTTGCTCTGCCTTGTTTTATGTGGAAGGTCCCTAGTTGCTACTTTAGGGGTGTCCAAGGATTTGAAGAAGTGAACTAACATAAAACTTGCCAGTAAATACTATAGGTGATTTTAATATTCATCCTTTGTTGAAAACAATCATCTTAGACCTTTATTGTGGTCTAGTTATTACTTTGTATTAAAGTTAATCTATGCTTTTTCTCCCTTCCTGAAGGGCAGACAGCATGTTTTATTCATCTTTAGTAAGTAGCACACTGCTTAGTTCCAGGATGTGTCCAGCAGATGTTATCTGAAACTGAGGCATGTTACGATGGTAAATTCTGCTGGATTTGATGAATTGTTAGATCTAGAAGCTGTGGAAAGATTGTCAAGTGATTCCTAGATTCTGGTGTTCATTCATATATTTATTAAAGTTTATTGAGCAAGTATTCCATGTCAGGTGTTTGTAGAGGTTATAAGAACACAAATAGCTCTTATTTGAGGAACATGAAGGGAAAGACAGATGGGCTGGGTTTTAATATAGCTGTGCTCAGTGGGTGACGCATTCCTAGCATGGTTTGGGTCATAGGGGACTGTCTGGCCCAGCCTCTCAGGTAGGGCTGGAGAGATTAGGAGGACTGTCTGTCTGGTTTCAGTGTTAAAGACTGAACAAGTTAGCCAGGTAAGATGGGGCAAGGGAGAGGTAGAGGGACTGAGGCCACAAAGAGTAATGTGATGTTGGGTATGTGTCAGGGTGCGGGTGCAGAGTAAACCACAGGTAATAAGTGTGTCTAGATCTTAGTTTCATTCATTTGGTAATATTTATTGATTTATTTCTTTCCAAGAAATATGATTTAAAGGTGGAAATATAGGAGGCTGAAGAGGAAGAGGGGCACTCAGGCACACTAGATCATAGAGAATCTTTTTAATATCTCAAGACTTTGGACTTGAGACAGTAAGAAACCACTGAAAAATTTTAAGCATGTGGGGTTTGTGTTTGAGATAATTTAGGTCATTGAGTGGCAGCATGGGTGAGAGAGGTGATGAAGGACTGATTTGGGAATGTATGAGAGATGATAAAGTCTGAACAAGCCAGTGCAGGTTTGGTGTAGTTAAGAAATATTAGGAAGTATAATTGGCAGAACACTTGATGGTTGATTGGATGTGGAAAGTGTCAGAAGAAGGAAGGAATACAGGATGACTCTCAGATTTCTATTTCCGGTGGTACCGCCAGCTGACACAGAATTCAGGAAGATGAAGGGACTTTACATGGAGAGAAAATAGGCTCAATGAGGTGGTGGTTGATAATGTGGAATGCTGGAGGAGTAGGTATGGAGCAGAAGATAATTTAAATTGTGGCAGTTAAACAGGTGGTTGGGGTAGTCAGATGGTGATGTGGTAGACAGTACAAAAGTAAGGGGGAATGTGTGGGCCAGAATGAGATTGGAATAGTGCCTAGAACTGTTGTTGTTGTTGTTTTTTAAAAGATTTATTATAGCATACAAGAACCGGGATACAGGCCAGAGGTGTGGGGGGTGAAAGGATTCACCTGAGACGGGGCGGGGGGGGAGGACAGAACAGGCAGATTGAAATACACTGCTGAGGGGAGCTGTGGGAGAGTCAGGAGAGGTCTGCTGCGCCATGCGGGTAGCTCCATGGCCGAGGATCAAACTTGTGCTGCAGCGGCTGCAGACAGCTGCATAGGTTGCCGTCTTAATCCCTTGCGCCAGCAGGGAGGCCCCTAGAACTGTGTTTTTGTTTGACATTCCTTACGGAGAGTGCATAGAATGGATTTAGAAGAGGTTTAAGGATGGAACTTTGTACATCAAATTCAACAAGTTGCGAGAAGCAGAGGAACTCATAAAGAAGCCAGAAGAGTTGAGGTTAGGAGGAAAACCAGATCTAGAAGCTGTGGGTGGAGAAATTTTGCCAAGGAACAATTGCTTATTTTCAGAAAGCACAGAGAGGTCAAATAAAATAATGATTGACTATGTCTGTTAGATTTGGCAATTAGGGGCTTATAAATGACCTTGACAAGAAGAACCTCCATGAAGAGATAGAAACAAGACACCAAATTGTAGTAGTTGAAGAATGAATGAGAAATAACATAGAGATGGAACCTGTGGACAGTTCTTTCAGGAAGGAGAGCTAAAGTTCAAGTGGGAAGAGTCTTTATTGCCTTATGAAGAATAAAAAGACTACTTAATTTTTTTCTGTGTAAAATAAACAATTATGCAATTTCCTATTTAATTTTATAAAGGCTATTTTGTCATTTTTTCTACATTTCCAAAAATTAGATTTATATATTAAAGTTATACCAAAATAGGAAAAGATTTTTAAGCTAAAAGAGCAGGAATTGAACTCAGGCAGCCTTATCTTTAGACATAAAATATATGTACAGTGTCCATAGGTTGAGGGACATGGTGATAAATTGACTTAAATGATAGTACAAGAAAGATTTCCCTTTGATCCATTTGAAATTCCAGAATATTTTTCAATTTAAACCAGCTGATTTCTTTCTTCATAAGGAGTTATGGCCTTTAAGGGTTACTTGATTTTAGTTTACTTTTAATAATAAATATTTTGACATTATATTACTACTGCAGTAGTAATACTATGCATGGTTAGATTTAATTTATATAAGATTGCATTTCATCACAGGTACTGATGATGTTGTAGGTCCTGAAGGCATGGAGAAGTTTTGTGAAGACATTGGTGTTGAACCAGAAAATGTAAGTCTAACTTACTAAGTTGAGCGAGCGAATCAGTTGATTAATTTTCTTAAATTTTTTGTCCCTTGACAAATAAAACATAATAAAGAACTAATGGTGGGCCTCCCCGGTGGCGCAGCGGTTGAGCGCTGGGTTGCGAAGCTGCCCGCGGCCTCTGCGGTGCCGGTTCGATCCCCGGCTGCTCCCCGGCCACCGGAGGAGGGTCCCACATGGCGTGCAGACCTCTCCTGCCGCCCGCTGCTCCCCTCAGCAGTGTACTTCGGTCCTTCTGCCTGCTCTGCTCCCCGCTCTGGCTCTGGTGAATTCTCTCACCCTCCCGTGCTTCTGACTGTACCCAGTGCATGTATAAACAAAACAAACAAACAAACCAGCAAACAAATAAATAAAGCATGCCTCTATTAAAAAAAAAAAAAAAAAAAAAAAGAACTAATGGTATGTTTGTTTTCATGTGGCAATCTAAGAAATAGGTTCCAGCTCTAATTTGAGTTGTAAGCAGAAATTTTTGCCATATTGGTATGGTGTAAAATACAGTCAGTCTTTTTCTCTTTTATTATATTTCTTGTTTCCTGAAGGTACTGTAATAAAGTAATTAAACTACACGTTTAAAAAGTGGTGTGGGCATGTGCATATACAGTGACAGATGAGGTGGGGCATGGTGTCACTCTGCATTGTGAACCTTTGTCCCCCTTCTCTCTAATGTAGAGCATGTCCAGTAGTTAAAATAACTAAGTTATTCATAAGGATTTAGAGTAGCTTGTAATTATCATGAATGTTTCACAATTTTCACTTCCAAGTAAATTTCATTCAGAAAGTGATTGCTTTTAAGTATATGTCATTAAGTATTTCCTTTTAAAAAATTTGAAGTTATTTTATATGCTTAGTTATTTTTGTGTAACTTTTAATGATGTTAGTGTTGAATATTTTTTCCTGTTCCTACACTTTTCTCTTACACGAAAATAAAAAAATACAAGCCCTGGTTCATTGACCATGCAGGTGAATGTATTAGCTTCTAGTTCAACAAATGTGTGTAAGATCCCAAATGAATTTATGATATGGAAGAGCTCTCAGGAGATCACCTCCTTCATTCAGACTGTTGGCAAGATACTTGATGTTCATGCATATGTCATGCTCTTCAAGAAAAGTAGGAATTGATACTTCACACTTTTTTCTTAAAACCTTTTTTTGCCATTATCATTTCTTGGCCCTCAGTAAAACTTTCAATCTTCTAAAAAGCCTTGGAATATCTTAGATTCATTATGTGGCTCTTTGTCTTGTTCTTTTTATTTTAATGTGATCCAGTTTGGTGTCTTAATAAATTATTCAATTTGGCTTAAAGTTTTGGGGACAATTGGGTCAATAGTATTTTGCTTAATCCCAGTACACAGACTGCTCATAAGCATAGAAAGAATATGTCACTGACTTTTTTTTTTAAAGATTTATTTATTTATGCATACAAGAACTGGGGTACAGGCCAGATGTGTGGGGGGTGAGAGGATTCACCAGAGACAGAGTGGGGAACAGAACAGGCAGATGGACTGAAATACACTGCTGAGGGGCGCAGCGGGCGAGTCAGGAGGTCTGCTGCGCCATGTGGGTTTCTCCCTGTCTGGCCAGGGATCGAACTCATGCTGCAGAGGCTGCGGATGGCTTCACAGCGCAGCGCTCAACCCACTGCACCACCGGGGAGGCCCCATGTCACTGACTTTTAAGAGGGAAATCTTCCAATGGGAGGTGGGCCAAGGTTGGCAGAGTGTTTTCTTGGAGCGTAATAGTGGTGGCGTGAAAGTGAGTTCAGTGGTTCCCAGTGGAGGAGATTGGGAGACAGTGGTAAGGCTGCAGGTCTGAGTGGGATTAGGGGAATGTTTATCCTCAGAGGGCAAAAGTATGTCGGGATGGCAGATGCTGATTCTGACTGAACATAAAGGGAGGCATGGCTCCTCACAGTCCCTCACCCCCAATACCAGTACACAATAAAAGAAGCAGCTATTATTATACCCCTTTTGGTGGTGTGAGCCCTTTAGTTCTCTATTTCTGTAGGAATGGAAATAGTCTTCTGTGGGTTCCTATGAGCTGGCTACAAGCTGGCCACTTATGGGCAACTGTGACCTACTTGCTATCCACAAATCACAGCAGAGAATTCCTTGACTACCTACGGAGTATAGTATCATGAGGCAGGCCCGGGAACGCCTAGGCCGCTGTTGACTTGATAACATGACTCTCTCCATGGTGGTCTCAGGATAACTCTGCCTGTGATAACATCACATACTTTGTTGACACAAATGTCTCTTGGCATAGGGTCACGATGTCCCCTTCCTTGTCCCTTGTAAAACTTTGTCCCCCATCCCTTTCTCACCCTTCCGACTTTATTCCTCATACTATTGTGGCATGGCAAGCTTTTACAAGCCTGTGTGCTTTCAATAAATGGCACAAGAACTTCTGCTCAAGTAGCAGTCTTGCCTTGCAAACCTGCTCCACAACTGCTGTGTCCCTCGTCATGTTCCTGCCTCAAAGCGGCACAAAGTTCCTGTCTCAACAGTCTTGAAATGTTGAATTGTGTTGAAGACTGAGAGACTGAATTTCAGAATGTTATGCCAAGTATTTATTACTGTATTTCAATTCTGAGATGCCACTAATAGAATTTGTATTATTTTTATACCATCACTAAGAAGGAAAAAATGTTGCTAAGTAAACCTATATGCCTTCAGTAAGGATGCATCCTAATTTCAGAAACGTTAACATTTGAAAAAAAGTGGTGAAATAGTTTTAAAGCCTTGCCTGCATTGATGAGTAAACATGTTAAAGTACTTAAAACCCTTACCTCACCTGGTACTTATAAGTTATGAAATCTAAGCACGCTTGTAAAATTTAAGTCTAGTTTCATTTACTAAGGTAATGGCAAAACTCCTCATTTAAGTGGTTTGCTTCCTTAATTGGTATCATAAGGAAAAGTCTATATGAATATCTGTATTGGCTGTTTGATTGTATTTCATGCATACTTGTGTGTTTATTCCTGTGCCCTCACCTTTTATTATCTTATGTGTGTATGTGGAATTTTAATTTTTGTGATGGAACATTGAATATAAATATAGTCTGAAAAGATACCAAGTTTGAATTAGAGAATGTGGGTTAGTTCAACTAGGCAGACTGACATATAAGAGCCAGAATTCCAAGAAAAGCTGATGGATGAGGAGAATGTTCACTAGTTTGTGAACAGTTGATGAACAAGTAACCCCTTCTTTTTCGGGAAATTCTTCTGAGTAGCCTGTGTCACCACATTTCAATCTAACAATCCTAGTATGTGATGATGTACATAATATTTTGAAACACTGGTTTGCTAATTAGTTCTAGTAATCTAGATTTTTTTTTAAATCTGGAAAACCTAATTACTTAAAAATTTGGTAGGAACTGATTCATTGATGAAGGCCCTAGAGATTTAGTGTTTTTTTTTTTTTTTTTAATTTATTTAATATTCAAGCACCGGGTACAGTCAGAGGCGTGGGGGGGGCGCGGTGTGTGTGACAGAATTCACCAGAGCCAGAGCAGGGAGCAGAACAGGCAGACTGATGAAATACACTGCTGAGGGGAGCAGCGGGTGGGGCAGGAGAGGTCTGTCGCGCCATGTGTGACCCTCCCGGTGGCCAGGGATCTAAATGGCGCTGCAGGGGCTGTGGGCTGCTTTGCAGCCCAGCGCTCAACCGCTGCGCCACCAGGGGAGGCCCGAGATTTAGTGGTTTCTCACTGAAACTAATTTCTAAAGTGGAAAACCGTAAAGCAAGCATGAAGAGAAAACTTTTCATTAATTTTGGTTAATAAAACAGATGAAATGGGAGATTTTTAGTCCACAAGCTGGTTGGCAAACAAGAGAAAGGACATTTTCTGAACCTATGAAATTCCGCTCTTGTGGAGTTCTTAATGTGCATGTCTGTCAGAGACTTAACTTGTCTGATGTGATTTCTGACTGCTTGTCTCATTATTTCATGTTATATTATCCTTTCACCACCACTACCATCTGACCCAGTTGGATACGTGGATTGTGGTTTAATAGCCTGGGCAGTTCTTCTCGTAGTTGAAATAAAGCCTTAGATCTTGTGTAAAAAAAATCAAACTGCCCAATATGGATACTGTTCCCCAGTTAACTATATTACAGAATATTAATTTCTTCCCATTGTCTTTTTTATTTGGTATAGCACATGGAGATAGCCATTTGATAGCCATTCATTATTTACATGATTCCCAGTGTAGGACCTGCATGTTCCTTGTGTCTGGATGACTCTCCAGAGATAGCCAGCTCACAGAGTGGCAGGATGGTCTTAGGAGGCCCTGTCACTCTTTTTTACTTCTCTAAGACTGGCATGTTAGTTACTCCTCACCTTAGGTCTTTGAGGTAGGTGAAATGGGAAGACTCCTTCCCCTTCCCAACCAGGGATAGCCTAAGCTCTGTTCTTTTGCAGAGCCTTTGAGAGGGCTCAAAACTGGTTGCATATTTCAAATGTCATTTTATCTTTACACCTTCAGGTATTTGTTAGTAACACACCATCAGTATCTCTCTGACATCTTTTCCGTAAAGCAGCTAAGTTGTCACGGTTCTTAAAACCTGCAGTTTAAGAAAATTCATTAAAAGCACAACTGTGGTGCTGAGGGACCACTTCCCCCCTCAAGTGCTTGGGCCGAGCCACACATCCTGTGCCCATTCAGGCACGGTGCTGTTTAAATGAAATGTGGGCCACTCTAAAGTAATTTTCCCTTAGTGTCATATAGTTCACCAGTGTATTTGCCATACCAACCCATATGCGTGTCTCAACACCACCTTCTCACTTTTTAACACTCTGTTCTTCCTTTTTTCACTTAATGAATCTTGTAGATTATGCCATGTTTGTACCAATGGCTCCACTGTCTTTGTCTTGGTGGTGGCATAATATTCCTTTGTGACTGTAGTCAGCAAGGAAGTATTTAATTAGTAATGAATAAATGTTTTGTTGTTTGGTTCTTTTACTACCATAAATTGTGCTGCAGTAAATATTGTTGAATATACATCTTTGTGTACATGTGCAGATAGATATATCAATAAGATAAGTTAGGTGGAGTTGCTGAGTCAGTAATGGGTTTCAATTTTGACAGGTCCTGCAAAATTGCCCTCTGGAGAGGGCACCACTTTACACTTCTACCATCATGCATCAGGAGTTTATGTTTCTCCAAATTTTGCCAGCAGATTGAATTACCAAACTTACAGATGTTTGCCAAACTAGAACTCATTTTGGAAGTTATCCTGTTCATATTTCAGTGACTAAACTATTGTGAACAGAAACATTAACAAGATGTTAATATAAATTGCTCAGATCTGTCATTCTGATTTGATTAATTTTTTTTTTTTTTTAAACAGGTAGTTATGCTTGTCCTTGCTTGGAAATTAGATGCACAAAACATGGGCTATTTTACGCTACAGGAATGGTTAAAAGGAATGACTTCTCTACAGTAAGTCCTGAAGCTGCACTGGGAGTGCAGGAGTCCTATTCTTCCTACCTGCCTACCCTCCTCCCTGGGAGCTCCATGGGTGGGTGACTGCAGGAAAACCAGGTGACCTGGGCATGTTTCTCCTGGGGCCATAACTGTAAAGACCACGCTCCATTTTTATGTGATGAGGGGACTATTGCCAGTGAATTTTAGCATTTACCATTTTATATAATGTATATTGTTTTTCTTAATATTCTTTGAGTGCACCTTTGCCAAGTAGAAATAGAGCAACCTTTTCTCATATGTGTAATTTAAAATTTGTCTCATGGCCACATTGAAAAAAGAATTAAGAAACAGATAAAATTGATTTTAATTTTTATTTACTCAATATTGCATTCCAATGTGTAATCAATATTTTAAAAAATCATTGAGTTATTTTTACATTCTTTTCCATATTAAGTACTTAGAATCTAGTGTGCATTTTTTATTTATAGTACAGCTCAATCTGCATTAACTGTATTTCAAGTGCTTAGTAGCCACATGTGCCAAGTAAGTATTGTGCTAAACAGCACAGGTTTAGAGCTTATAAGGCAAAGGCTTTTAGTGACTGTTTAGGTTTTTAGTTTATGAGAAAAAGTTAGTGAGAAAAAGTAAATAAAATATAAGTGAAAATATTTGATATTTTCTGATTTAGATGTTCTGATTTTAGCTTTGGGCAAAATTGGAACTTCATTGACTAGTGGTTAAAATAAAAAAATAACATTCTGTTTGTGTTACTTAACCCAGAAAAAGAAAATCAGTGATTTCATTTGTTCACTTTGTGCTTACATGCACGTGTGTGTGTGTGTGTGTGTGTGTGTGTATAGGGTTTCATTTAAAGAAGCATAAATTATTATTCTATATTATGCACTGAAAGATAAAGTTTAAGTGCATGCCAGTTCCAATGGTTTTGGAAGATGAAGTGCCAATTCTTAACAACTTTGATCTAAAAGTACTTGGAATGACTTCTTTTACTTTTCTCTTTAACTGTGAATAATAGGCTTTGATATTTACTGGATTAAAATTTTAGAAATTGTCAACTTTTCATGTCATTATCCATTTGTTGTTATTAATCAGGCTTTATTGCATTGTGCTTTAGTAGTTTAAGAAGACTTTTCACTGTCCTCCCATTTGAGCCTCACAGCTGCTTTGTAAGGAAAACAGATCAAGCTTTATCTTGCACATTTTACGAATGAGGAAACTGAGGCTTAGCGGGGATATGCAATTTGTCAAAATAAATGGCAGAGATGGGAAGAAAACCCAAGACTTCTGATTCTTATGTCACATTCTCCTCTGATGGCAAGACTGAAAAGTCAAATTATCCTTTTACAAATATGATTTCTTTTTAGGTTGCTCCACAATTTTAGCCTCATGCTCTGAAAATCTTTTTAAAGGTGTGTTTGTTGTGTTGGAGAATTTCCCCTTATGATTCTAAGTCGACTGATTCTGTCATTGTTTGCCTCTCTGCCTTTCTTTGTTGCTTCTGAATAGAGCACATGGTGGCTCCTGTTTTTAACTGTCCTTGTAATGATGAATCATGGCCCTGTCAAGATTTTATTTCAAGACTTCAGAGGAGGCACCATCAGCATTTTCTCAGACATATTTTTTATTTGGTTTAAGAGAGTATGAATGGGTTCCAGTTCCAATGTGTGTGTGTATGGAGGCTTCCCCACCCCAATAGGCAAGGATGTCTGAGAAGTCAACTCAATTCTGACACCAGAATTGACATTCCACAGGCTAAGGGCTCAGCCTGTCCTGACCAGCTTCCTCTTCAGACACTAGTGGCAAGCTCAGGCTGTCCCTGTGCTGCTGATCCATCTGCTGCAGATTGAAGTCTCCTGTGTTTCCCTCCTCTGGTTAACTTAATTCTCTAGATTAGCACTCAGAACTCAAGAAGCCAGTTAAACCCACCAGGTCGCCCATTTATTATAAAGGGTATGAATTCAGGAACAGTCAAATGGGAGAGAAGCACAGGCCAAGGAGTGGGTGAAGTGTGGCACTCCCATGCCCTCTCCTCATATGCCATTCTCCCAGCACCCCCATGTGTTCACCAACCTGGAAGCTCTTTGAATTCCATCCTTTTGGATTTTAATGGCGGCTTCATTACATGGGCACGATTGATGAAATCACTGGCCCCTGGTGACTTTCAACCTCCAGTTCCTGTCCCCTCCGCAGAGGTCAGGAGGTGGGACTGAAAGTTCCAGCTATGTAATCACATGGGTGGTTCTCCTGGCAACCAGCTCCCACCCTTGGTGCTTCCCAAAATCTCCTCACTCACATAACAAAAGACACATTTATCATTCTCAACACTTAGGAAATTCCAAGGGTTTTGGGAGCTGTGAGTCAGGAACTCTGAACAAAGACCAAATATATGAGAAATGTATTTTGGATCATCTGAATGACCAAATGCATATTTCTTATCAATCACAATCTTGTAGGGTTTAATGTCCATTTTTGTTTAGTTCTTTGATTCTTTTTGCATTTGCTTTGGCAAAATATTTTACACAACGACAGGCTTTGCCCATCTGTTTTGAGGGCCGAGATTTCCTGGAAGAGGTCTCAGGGGTGTTAGGAGTAGGGGTGATGAGGACTCTCAAGGCTTTTTGTTTGGAACTCTGCTTGCCACTTTGTGTGATTCAGGTGCTAGTGGATGTGGCTTCCAATAGAATACTGCTACTTGGGCCTTGAAATTCAGGTGTAGTGACAAGCCTGATCCACTGCATGGGCATTGAGGGATCTGCTTTTCTTTTATGATATGAAACTTTGAGATTGGTTTCCTCATCAAAGAGGTGGACATAATTACTCAGAATAACTATTCATTTCTTTATAGTTCAAAAATAGTTACTTTTCCAGCTTTAGGAATCCCCCTTTGCATCCCTCCCACACCTCCCTGGATTCATCATTTGGTCTGCAAATATTTGAATGGCCGTGATGCCATGCATCGTATTCCAGGTCTTGCGGAAACAAAATCCATGAGCATGACAAAGTCCTTCTGGGGTAGCAGGATCTTGGAAGCAATATTTAGGCAAGAGAGTCAAAAGATTAAAAAAAACGATTAAAATAGAAGTGATCATAAGGCTACTTCTTTTTTTGCTACTTAAATAGACTAAATAGGAACTGTATTTGTAAGGTATTATTTACACCTTATTTGTAAGGTATATGTGCACCTAGTAAATACCTCTCAGAGGCTAATCCTTTATATGCTTTAAAGACAGAAAGTGTTGTCTCTTGAATTAACTGTTTGGATTCTTTTTTCTCTTTTGCTTAAGTTTTGGTTTTATTAGACTAGTCCAGTGAAATGTTTTGGACTCAAATTAGAATTAATACAAATAAAGTACAGAATCTGTTTTTTTTTTTAATCTATATTAGTACATTTAAATAACACCCTACATTTTAAAAAGTACTATATGGTAAGAGTGTACTAAAAATAGAAAGAAAGCTCTCAAGATTTGGAACTCGAGTTTTTAATCAGTCCTACCATGTTCTGGGTGTTTCTGGCAGTGTCTCCAAAGTCAGGAGGTAGAGTGATGAACTGTGCTCAGCCCTGGGCACTCTGAAGTCAGTCTCCTTGGTCCTGTCCAGAGGAATTATATGAAGGATCTCCTGGGTGGTGTTTTATGAGAGTGTTGGAAGAAGTGACAGTAGTTGGTGAGGAATGTCCCCAAGCTCGCTAGATCATTCTCAATCAGATATGGCACAACTTTTGTTTAAACTGACTGTGTTGTATTTATTGCCTTGTTTCAACATGTAAGATTTAAGGTTATCTCTGATATATCAAGCTTATGGAGATGTTTAAACAAGACCAAATAAGCTGTGTTAGAATTGTAGCTAACTGCATAGAACTAATTGATGGGCTGGGAAAACACTTTGTGGCCGATTAAAGGGGCAAAGGCAAACTTGTCCCATATCCCAGGAGAAATACTTCTGATTCTATAACTTCTGAGGATTATTGTCCTGATTCCTGTTGCCCCTGAATCTATTACAGCAGCAAATTTCAAATAAGAAATGACCCCACGTTATTTTGTTTTGGGGAAATGATTTTCCTTAGCAATGTCACTCGGTCACTGTATGATTTCTGTGAGTTTTCTTATCCATGGTACACCGAGAAACTGACTTTTTTCCTGACAAGTCTCAGGCTGCTCACGTAAGTTCTGGAGCCTGTTTCTTAGCAGGCCTGTGTTAGAATCTAATCCCTCTGCCACTAGATGGCAGCCTCTGGCTCAGATGGGGTGACTCAGTGGCCTATTTCCCTAATGGGGCAAATCCAGAGACTTGCAGGACAAGGCCCCTTTTAAAGCAGATTAAACTCCTCATTGACAATATTAGCTCTGACCCATATAACCGTCCTTAAAAGGTACATGGATCAAAAAGATTGTTTTGGGCATTTTGTACTTGAAACATGATTTTCATAATTTGAACTCAATTATTGGACTCAAATTTTTCATTTCTTACACTCCAGAGAAGATCTGTGAGCATCCCTAACACTGTGAGCAGCCCAAAAACTTGAAGCTACTGTATTTCTTTCAGCTATGTAGTGGTTATCTAAATGAATGGTTCCTGCTCTTGAGTCTTTTGTAACAATCAGCTGTTCTTCCTGCTCTCATGGGCAGGACTAAACTAAACTGCCTGCCAAAATCTGGCCAATTTCCTGTGTCTTTAGTTCTTGACCTTCCTTTCCAATGAAGAGCAGGGACCTGGGCCTTACATGTTTTAACTAACTTCCCTTCTCTTGAACCCTCCCCTTTACTACTATTAATAGTTATTTATATATGGCAAACAAAAAATCAAACCATACAGTAGAGTGCCTAGTACAGAGTCAATCCTGACACCTCCCCCATATTCCCAGCTTACTACTTGTGTATCACTAGAATCTCCATGCCCCTTCCCACCCTCATTTGGACCCTGGCACTAGATCTCTAACTAGACTATCAGTGTCTCTTTTTTTCCTTCCCCACCCCTTCTCCACAGAGATCCGGAATGAGCTTTTCAAGATACGGACATGATTATGGTCTCCCTGTGGCTTCCATTTTCTAGGATTCATTGTGAAAAAACACTGTGGACCACCAAAAACCTTTACAGTCTGGCCCCACTTCCCTTTTCATTTTGTGCCACTTTCCCTCTTATTCTACCCACTCTGTAGTCACAGTACTTTTGTTTTTTTGTTGTTGTTGTTGTTGTTGTTTTTTTATATCTTCGGACTTGCCATGCTCCATTCTGTCACTGGGCCTTTGCACATATGCTGTTCCTTTTATGTGGAAAGCCCTCCGAAAACATTCATCCAGTTTCTATTTAACTTTGGCTCAGGTTATCTGCCCCTTAAAAAAGACTTTTCTGATTTATGAAATAGTCTACTGTTATTATGTTATTTTTTTCAAACATTAAGAAGAAATAAAAGGCATTCTAAGTTAATGTAAACTCCTAGAACAGAAGTATTGCCTCTTATTTTGGGCTTTTAGATATTTAGTCATTTCATTAGAAAAATCATAGGTACTTTTGTAGCTGTGAAGCTGTGAATAGTTTTGACAAATGTAGTGCTAAAAATATATCAGTGTAAAAAAATTTATCAGTTTACTCTTGTGAGCAATAGCTTTTAGTGTGTAAAATATTTACATTGATATAGTACCTTATGTGTTGTCTGTATTTAGTAGTAGGAAAAAGCTCTACTGATACACAGCCACATCCAGCATTGAACAACTGTAATATTGCCAGTGAAAATGGTGACTTTTGGTTCTCATTTTTAAGAGCCAGAGACTGTGAACAGAAAATTAGTTTGTAAAAACAACCAATTAGTCTGCTTCCTTAGGAAAACTAAACAGTGTGTCATCTACCTGTGAAAAGAGGCTATCATCACCAGGCTCCCTGGAGAAATGGCTGATTTCAAGTCAAGTCAAGTCAAGTAAGGAAAGTACAGGGTGAGCTGGAATATCGTGTGCCACAAAGCAAGGACATGTTCAGAAGCTGATAGGAACATGTCAGAAGGCCAGTGGTGCCATCACCCAAATCAGGTCATACTGTGCATTGAAAAGAACAGATTATAATACTGAATAAGAACCAAAAATCCTTAAATCCAGAAAATGCAGAAGGTGCTGAGTAGAACTCTTTTTTATAGAATAATTGTGACCAGTAAATGTAAAGGGCATGATGAGATTAGAAAAAAATCACCATTTGTAAACATAAAATTGATTCAGGCAGGTATTGTCAAACACGGGGTGGTGAAATATTGAGAAACAGGAAATTTGTAGTCTGAAGATACCATCCCAGGGATTGCAAGAGCCATTTCAAGGGAGTACACCGACCTGTATATGGGTGCCACTTTAGTAAATCAGCTATCACCGATAACGAGGGAGACTGTTGGTAATAAACCTCCTAGTGAGTTACACTGAGAAGGACATTCTGTGTGGTGGTGTCAAAAGTGGCCAACCTAAACATAATCATAGGGAAGTTGTCTGACAGACTGAGATTCTAGGAAACGACTGGTCTGGTCTCTTCAAAAATGATGTGGTCAAAAAAGACAGAAAATAGGTGGGCATCTTTCTAGAGATTAAGGAACATGACAGCTAAAGGCAGTTCATGAGCACTGATTGGATCCTAGATGAGAAAAAGCAGCAGCTATAAAGAAAATTGAAACAATTAGGAAATTTGCATATGGGTGTATATTAACTGAGAAAACATTCAGTAGGAAATGGAGTGGTGATGGCATTTTTAAGTATTTAGTGGTGATAGTGTGTCATGTTTACTTTTAAATAGTGCAGAAAAAAGTGCATGAATGTGAGAAAGCACAAATGTGATGAAATTCATTGCGATTAGAGGGGATGGCTGGATGGTGCTTATTTGCAATTCTCATGTTTTCTGTACATCTGAAATTTTTTTAAATAAAAACTGTAGGAAAAAATAGGTCATTGTTGACGTATTCCAACATCAGGGTTTTTATCCTATCTTTGGTATTATGTTTTTTGTTATTGCCCCAACTAAGACAAAAACTCAGGTTATAATTTGCCTTTATTCTCTTTTTTTCTAGATGTGATACCACAGAAAAACTCAGAAATACTTTGGATTATTTACGATCATTATTAAATGATTCTACAAACTTTAAACTTATTTACAGATACGCGTTTGACTTTGCACGGGTGAGTTCTTTGGAGCCTATCCAGATGTTTTCTTCTCTTCCCTCCCCTTTTTTTAATTGCTCATTGAGGTTTGTTTTCACTTGCTACAGCAAAGAAGTTGAATAAGGTACTCCCAGGATGCTAGTTAATTTCTTTGTATATGTACATTTTCTAAACTAACCTGATTCTTAGCAATTGTAATAATGTTAGCAAAAAACTGCAGTGGCAGACATTTAATAACTCTTGCAAGTAATTAGTTGAAGAATTTATAAATGGGCATGTAATAGACACTATTTAAATGTCTCTTAGATTAGCCTGGAAAAACTTCCTTTTAGAAAGAACCAAATTTCACCCATTGAATTTACTGGAATAACCTATTCAGATCTAATCTAGCTTTACTTTGGGTGCAATATTGTATTTGGAAATTACTTGAATTTGAAAGTAGGGCTAACATTAGTTACATGTTATTTCTGATCATTTTTTGGAAAAGTGATCAGTCATCCTGTTTGTAACATAGTGACCTCTAGGTCTAAATGCATTGATAATGGTTCTTTAGGAGTGAAATAAGGTCCTGTTTTTCATTCTGGCCACTATAGGTAGTGGCACCAGTTGTGAGTATATTCATTCATACACAATCACAATAATATTTTATTTGGAAGCAGTATTTTCTGTTACGTCTGTGTGTTTGGTTGGATTAAGGTGACTAGGCTTTCTTAGTTGATTTTCAGTCATTTTCCAGTTTTTTTTTTAAAGCAAAGAATAATGATTTTTTTTCTTACCACCATCTCTTTCACTTTACCTGCTTTGGCTCTGCTAGTACAACACCAAAGGTTTGTTCAGTGGCAAATTCTGGCACATCTATAATAACCTGTCAGTAGTTCTCTGTGGTGCCCTCATTTGTGAGTGTTTGTTGCAATCTTCAAGTGAAATCACAGGGTGCATAAATATTTATAGATGTGAGCAGTTATTTGGTGAATTGAGGTACAGTGTTTTTTACTCAGTGGCATTTGTATAATTGTATATAGAAATTATCTGCTGGATGTTTTAGGAGTAGATGTACAGTTTGTAGTATGAAATGCTTTATTTCATGATAATGAAATGGAAAATGCTTTATTTTCCTCCCAAAGTGTTTTTATTGTATGGGTGAAAGTTTGTTTAGAAGCATTTATACATATACACACACACACACACACACACACACACACGTGTATGTATGTATATACACCTTCTCACCAAAATAATATTCTGTACCTTCTGTGTTTGGGGTTAAATTTTCCCACACATCCCCTGCTTTAGAGCCAGTTTCCGTTCTCCTCCCTGTCCTCCCTCCCGTTCTGTCTCCCTGATCCGTCTCCCCAGGGCCCTTTTGGTGCTCCACCGCACCCTCCTCAGTCGAGCCCTCAGCACTCTGCTTGCGTCCCTACCCTTGTCCTTAGTTCCGACCCTTCTCATCCAGCGCCAGTGGGTGTCATTCACCTGCCATTAGCCCCGGTGTCCATTCGCCGCCTGCTCACTGAGGCCTGATTCAGTATCTTCTCTTCGCCTTTGTGTCGTGTCAGGCTTCACTGTGTCCCTGAGCAGCTCTGAAGTGGCAGACGGGATGGTGTTAGTCTACTTCACAGAGGAAGGAAGTTAGAAGTTAGAATCGTTTTGTTGTTTTGTGTAGCTGTATCCCACAAATTGTGAGCTATTTTATTTTCATTTGCACTCTGTTCAAAATATTTTCCAGTTTCTCATGTGGCTTTTTTTTTTTTTTTAATAAATAATACAGGTGAAGAGTTTATTTTATTTATTTTTTTTTTTTAAGACTTATTTATTTATTTATTTATACAGCACTGGGTACAGTCAGAAGCACGGGAGGGTGAGAGAATTCACCAGAGCCAGAGCAGGTAGCAGAACAGGCAGACTGACAAAGTACACTGCTGAGGGGAGCAGTGGGTGCCACAGGAGAGGCCTGCTGTGCCATGTGGAACCCTCGCCGGTGGCCGGGGATCGAACCGGCGCTGCAGAGGCTGTGGGCAGCTACGCAGCCCAGCTTTCAACCACTGCGCCGCCAGGGGAGGCCCGGCTTTTTTAGTTTTTTTGACTCCTCGTTGGTTGTTTAGAAAACTATTGTTCATGTTGTTTATTTTCCAAGTTTTCAGGAATTTCCTTGTAATATTTCTCTTACTGATGCCTAGTTTAATTCTGCTGTGGTCAGAGAATATATGTTATATAATTTCAGTCCACTTAAATGGAGACTAGATTTCTGGTTCAGAGTATGGTCTGCTGTGATGAATATTTTATGTTTACTTGAGAAGAAGGAATATTTGATGTTGGTGGAATATTCTATATGTGTCAGTTAGGTCAAGTTGGTTGATAGTGTTATTCACATCTTCTGTATGTCTTTGATTTCTATTTTTTCCTGTTAATTACTGAGAGAGGAATGTTGAACTCTCCAGCTAAAATTATTTCTCCTGTTACTTCCATTGGTTTTTTGCTTCATATATTTTGAAGCCCTGATAGTAGGTATAGACAAACTTTGTTTTCTCATGTCCTCTTGAAGAATTGACCCTTTCAGCATTATGAAATATCTCTAATCGCTAGTAATGTTCCTTGTTCTGAAGTTTACTTTGATGCAGTATAGCCACCCCAACTTTCTTTTGATTAGGCTGCATGATTTGTCTTTTCCTCAACCTCTTAAAGATAGTACATAGTTGGGTTTGACAATAAACTGTCTTAATTGAGGTGTTTAACCCATTTACATGCGATGTAATTATTCCTGTGGTTAAGTTTATATCTCCCCCTATCTTCTTGGCGGTTTTTTTCTCCTGTTTGTCCCATCTGTTTTTTGTTCCTTTTTTCCTCTTCATGACTTCTTTTCAATAGAGTTTTTTTATGATTCCATTTTCTCTCACCGTCGTCTTGTTAACTATATGTTTCCTTTTTCTTGTGGTTGCTCTAGGCCTTACAGTGTATATCTTTAAATTTCCACAAATTTTAACTAATGTTACATCACTTCATATATAATGCAAGAATCTTTACAACAGTATACTTTCTACCTTTTCACACTTTTTGCTCTTGTTCTATATTTTATTTATACATGTGTTATAAATCTCAAAATAAATTGTCCTAATCTATTAAGACTGCTTTAAGAAGCTACCAGAGAATCAGTACCTTATAAACAACAGAAATTTATTTCTCACAGTTCTGGAGGCTGGCTGTAAGGCCACAATGGCAGAAGGGAAGCGGGATCTCTCTAGGGTATTGGCCTAGTCCACATTCAGTAAGGACTCTACTGTTATGACCTAATCAGCTTACCAAGGCCCACTTCCTAATACAAGCACCTTGGGAGTTAGAATTTCACCTTTGGAATTTTGAAGGGACACAAACATCTGTACTATAATGTATTTTGTTGTTTTTGCTTTAAATGGGCAAAAATGTCTTTAAGTCTTTAATATTGCCCAAATATATACCTTTTCTGTGCTTGTCATACCTTTTGCATCAGTCCATAGTTCTATCTGGTATCATTAGCTTTCTGCCAATAGAATTTTCTTTAATATTTCTGTAGAACAGATCTGTTGGTGATGAATTCTCTATGCTTTTATTTTGCTTTCAATTTAAAAAAAGATGTGCTTCTCTGAATAAAAGATTCTAGGTTCTGACAGTTCATTCAGCCATTACTTTAATGATATCTCCATTGTCTTTTGTGGCTTCTGATGATAAATCTGGCATAGTTTTTGTTCTTTTGGACATAGTGTCTTATTTTCTGACTGCTTTTCAGCAAATTGATTACAACATGTCTTGGCATAATTTTCCTTGTGCTTATTCTGATTGGAGTTTCTTGGATTTTTTTGGATCTGTGGGTTTATCGTTTACAGTAAATTGGGAAATTTTCTAGCTGTTATTTCTTCAAATATTTTTTTCTGTTCTCTTTGGGACTACAGTTAATTCCTATGTTGTTTGCTTGATGCTATCCCAAAAGCCATTGATGCTGTGGTCAAAGGCTTCCAGCTTTTTCATTTTGAATGATTTTTATCACTATGTCTTCTAATATTAATCTTTTTTTTCCTGCAGCATTTAGCTTGCTATTAATCTTAGCATATTTTTCATTTCAGATAGTGTACATTTCCTCTCTAGAAGTTGCATTTGTGTATTTGTTACAGCTTTTACTTCTTATCATGAGCATATTTTCTAACTTATAGAACATTTAGGTCATGTTTATTACAAGTGTTTTAACAACTTTGTCCTTGGGCCCTCATTTCTCCCCATCTGAGTCTCTCTGTGTGTGTTGGTTAATTTTTGTCTTCGTAGTGGATCATATTTTAGTTTCTCTGCTTGATATTGTGAATCGTGTTGTTGGTTGCTGTGGTTTTTGTTGCATTTCTTTAAAGAATATTGGATTTTTATATTTTTCTGGTGCCTACTTAATGCTACTTGGAATCAGTCTGACTTTTTGAGAAGCTCTGGTCCAGAATAGCCTTCAGTCCAGGAATGTTTTAGGCCTGCTAGTGAGGCAGCGTGCCTGAGGGCCCACCCAAGCCTGATGATGACCCTGGCTCTATGTGGGCTGCTCTGAGGCTTTTTGCTCACTCTTTGAAGAGCTTCTTTGCCTAGACTCATATGGTTTTCTTTCACATATGCACAGGTAAGTCCTTGGCCAGATTTGGGGGGAACTTCTATAGATTTACAGATCTCTGTGTAGCTCCCACATCACAGTATTTTGCCACAAAAGATGGCCACCTTTGTCTTCCCGAACTCCAAACTGCCTTTTCCAACTCAGCGAGACCGTTGGGCTGGATTTGGGTTTTCCTCTTCCAATTCTGTGGCCTGGAAAGCGTCTCCACAGAGGAAGCTGGTATCTCTGGAGGGCTTACGTTCTGTGTCCTTTTCCTCCGGGCTCACAGTCCTGTGCTGCCTGCTGTCCAGGGTGTAGAAGTCAACACTCCATGTATTTTGCCTGGGCTTGTTATTGTTTGAAGTGAAAGGAAGTACCTGGTTTCTCTAACTCCATCTTGGTTGGAAGCAAAATGCAAATACCC